AAAGCCCCCAGCTCTTAAGCTCTTGCTTGGTCCTGTCCACGTGCCACTGAAGTCATCCGGTGCCAACCCATGCCAGCTCTGCCTTCCTAACAAAGCCAGATGCTTCTCACTTCCTCCATTGCCTGTCCAAGGTTCTCCTCATTTTGTTCCTGTGCTATTTCTGGGACCCCTGTTCCTCTCTACAGACCATTCTCCACTCAGTGACAGAATTATTAAAACTCACACACACTTCACAATACATATTATATTCATAAATCAACATGTGCTCCTTAAGCCCGCTGATAAAAAAAGACTCTGGGAATGTGCCTGGGGGTGGGGTGGGAGGGGGGATCCTTTGTTTCTTCCAAAAAACCCACCCTGTTCCAGGTCAGGCTGGCCCCTGGCTGTGTAATGGGGAGAGGGAAAAATAGCAAGCAGCTAAGGGTATTAAAAAACAAAACAAAAAGCATTGTCCTTGAGAACACCTAGAAAGGAATCCTTTGCCAACAGAGGTTACTATTGCTTATTCCATAATATAAAAATGCCTGCTGTGGGAACAGGAAGCTGCGAGCCCATCCATGAAAAGAAAGTTCCACCAAGAACTCCCAATGACTGCCTCAGCTTCCCCAGTGGATTTCTGCTGGATGTTGGTAAACCCCGACTGATGATGTTACCTCAGGCTACTCCAGTCGCTGTGCTGAGTGTTGTAAATAGTTTTGATGATGTCTTGCTACCTGTCTGCTACTTATGATCTGTTCGTTTGCTTTTGCTCCTAAGTACTTAATAGACTCACTTGTTCAAAACTGAAAGCACAGTCATCACAGGCCATTTTCCATACTATAAACTTGCTCCATTCAAAACCCCCAGAACTTTCCATTTCACTGATTGTCCATTTTTTGTTTGGTTGGTTTGTTTTTCTCTGTAGTTTTGGAGCCTGTCCTGGAACTTGCTCCGTAGACCAGGCTGGCCTCGAACTCACAGAAATCCATCTGTTTCTGTCTCCTGAGCACTGGGATTAAAGGTGTGCGCCACCACCAGTGGCCTTGCCTGACTGTCCATCTTCAAGAGTTCCCAAAACGCATGTGAAAAAAGCCAGACATGGGGCTTGCAGGCCTCTGAGTAGATCCTTTGTGAGAGGCAACCTAGTGCCCGGTAAGACATGCTCTAGCTGTGGCTGCAGGAACATATTGATGTCCGGAGTCCACAACGAGGTAGGGAGAGATAAATATTGGTACTTGGCTGGCTTCCTTTTTTCTTCTTTATTCAGTCTGATAGCATACCCCACGGGACAGTGCTACCCACACTCAGGGCGGATGGATCTTCTCTGCTAAATCTCTCAGGAAATGCACTGAGAGACTTACCCAGAGCTGTGTCCCAGATGACTCCGAGTCCATCTGAGAAGGAGGTTTAAACTCCAAGGAAAATAACTACCTAGAGTGAAATATTGCTCTTCGTGTTTGTGAAGTCTTACTTACCATTCCCTCCCCACTCCACCACAGGTTATGTTGGGTCTAACTACAGAGTTAAGACTGCTAAGTACTTTGTTTTTCAGGTTTCTGGGGAGGCAGGATAGGCTCCCATTAGAGCTCACCTCTAATGGGGCCAAAACACTCTTCATTTACAGCTGTGCAGAACAGATCCTAGACACAGGTTTGCTGGCTGAAATGACCTCTGAATGGATTCATGATTTCAAGGAGACACCATTTCAGGAGCTTTTTCTAGCCTGGGTTCTAGAAGTTCCAAAAAAAAAAAAAAAAAACCACAGGAGTCCAGGCACTCATCCCAATATGTCAATGAAGAAAGCAGAAAGGGGAGGGGAGGGGAGGAGAGGGGAAGGGAGGGGAAATAAATAATAATGAAAAGCAAAGGGAAACTGATTCAATGTGGTCACATTAGGAAGAGGAACAAATACAGAGGTCCAGTGACCCCCACTCCCAAGTCCATCTTCGGGAGTCCCGACTTAGGTTTAGTTTTAAATAGCAGGCACAGCATATGCACATAGCCCATCGCTCCTCCTGCTGTCCTGTGAGGCTCTCTCCTGCAGCCCTACGGACTTGATGAGGGCAATCAGAAGTGGAGGGTCAGGCTGGGGCGGTCACTCCCAGAAAGCCGTGCCCTATGGGGCTGGCCTTGAAGTGACACTATGATGGACCGAAGTGTGCCATCCCACCAAGAGGTGTGTTTCCTCTTCCCCATTACTCAGCCCGCACAAGATAACCTCCCTCCCACGTTTTCCTCAAATATTAGAAGGGGCCCTTTGAGACAACTGCTAGAATGTGGGGTTCCTTGGAGTGCCTCACACAAGCACTTCTTTTTCTGAATCTCCCAAGGACTACCAGTAGCCTTGGTTTCTCTCTTCCACTGCCCCGTTGTTGGGTGTGGATTCCATTACTTTGAATCTATGCATGTGTGTGTTTGTGTGTACATGAACACCATGTGCATGCAGTAGCCCGAGGCCAGAAGAGCGTGCCAGATCCCCTGGAACTAGAATCACAAGCCTTGTGAGCCACCAGTAGGTGTAAGGAATTGAATCTGGTTCTCTGTAAGAACAGCAAGTACTCTTGGAGCACTATCTCCATAGCTCCTTGCTCTTTGTTTACAGACAGGGTGCTTTGTAGCCCACGCTAGGCTAGAACTTGACATGTTGTAAAGGGTATCCTTGAATTTCTGATCCTCTGTCTCCATCTCCCAAGTGTTGGGGTTACAGACTGATTTCTCAGTACCCCCATAGAACCCAGGGCAGGAAAGCACTGTCAACTGAGCTACATCTCCATTCTCTCCCTTGGGAGCAATCCCCTGACCCCTGTGCATCCCAGCCCGAGACAGTCTGTTAATTTAGCTTTTGCAGGCTTGGACTCTTTCAACCCACCAGACCCCAGGTCAAATTACTATTCTCAGACCTGCACTTTCAGATCCTCCTTCCTGGCTGTCCCTGTTCTTGCAAAGAGAAGCATCAAGCTTGGCGCTGTGCAGCTAAAGGAGTGAGGGAATGCTTGTCCTGTGAGCAGGACTCTGCTGTCCAAATAGACACCAAAGCGTGTTGTCAGTTGTGAACACGAAGCATGCTTCTTGCTATCATCTCCTTCACCTTCAGTAGGGACCCAGTCACACAGGCATGTGAACAGGAATTCATGTATGTCTCAAACCAGCCATAAAGTCGTAAAGGACTTTCTGTCACTGAATTCCTGGGACCCCATGAAACCTACTTTCTATCACATGCAGATCCTGGGAACCAGGCAGGTGCAAGGTGTGGCCCAGAAAGTGAGAAAAGACGTTCTCTTCTCCACCCTTGACAGTCAGTCAGAACGGTCCACCTGGGAAAGGCAGGAGAGGTCAGACTTCATGCACCAGGCAGCTGTTAGAAGTCTGTCTTGGAGTATGTTGTGTGTGAGCATGTCACCTGGCTGGTTTTCACAGGCTTGCCGCTTCTGTCTTTACTTCCAGGAAACTGGCTTGGAGAGGATAAACAGCTTACCTAAGACCCAGTGGGGGGCCGAGTCCAAAGCCTCCCCTTTGCCCTGCCCACACAGGAACGGACGGAGATGAATGGGGCTTTGGGACTGAGCTGCAAGGGTTGTCAGTACAGGCAGAGGCGAGCTGTAGGATGGAGAGCCCTATCACCGGGTGCTGGGGAAGTGCCTTAGGTCATGGTCTCCATGTCCTGGGTGAGGGTGGACTTGTTAGACCCTTGACTGCACTCTGACCAGTGACCAGGGCCAGGCCTTTCATTAAGAGCACGGCTGTGTTTCTATCAAGATTCTCTAGATGTGCCAAGAGGCCCTGCACAGCCGACTTCATGAATCAAAAGTGGCTTAGGATGCCCCACAATGCATTTGGCAGAGAGACAACCAGCTCCCTTCACACACTGAGAACTGTCTCTACTTCCCCTTTTAAAAGGATTGCCTGATGTGTGCTCACCCTGTGACTGGCGTTTTGTGGTCTAGTTTTTCCTTCTCGTCACTGTGGGAAACTGTGGATGAGAAGGTAAGAAGAGATGGCCCAAGAGGCTTGGACCATACTTTGTGGCACGCCACTCTCTGTTGTTCTGGGCTTTAGTTTTGCCAAACACTTGGAACTACAGTGTAGAAATCTGGGACACAGGGACAAGACACAGCCTCTAAGTCCAAACACACAGATGGTCATTTTCATCATACGCCTCACGGGGAGGTACATGTTCATTTTAACCCAAGGGCTTAATAGGGGTAATCTTACTCTAGAATACTCTACTCCCCCTTTTAAAATTTAGTTCCTGGTAGGAAGAGGGCATTCGGGGGGAAATCATGCAAAAAATAATGGGTAAGACTTAACAGGGAACCATTTGTGGGTACCTAAGAAATAAACAGTCACGTTTTCACCTCCTAAGCAAAAATAATGCATAAGACTTAACACGGAATCATTGTGGGCACCTAGGGGATAAGCAGTGGCAGTTTTAACTGTGGCCAAGCTGGCAGCTGCAAGAAGGTGATAAGAACAGAGCAAATGGGGCCGGGGGCAGAGGAAAGCACATGGCGGAGCCTCGGGACGGCCGACTGAAAACGGGAAGGGAGGGGAGGAGCGCACCTCCTCTGCTTTTCTGTCCCCTCCTCTGCACCTTCTATGAACTGCAGAGACCCAACCAGGTGAGATCACCACCGGGGCCTCCATCTTCCCCGTGCCTCTCGGTCGACCACTCACAGCAGGGACCGGTGCTCAGTCCCACCGCCTGGGACTGGCCAGCTCCTAGCCTTATGTCTACCTGGGAAAACGCCTGCTGACCACGTCCACTCGTGAACACTAACGGGGCTGGGGAAGGGACGGTGGGATCTGTGGCAGAGGCCCGAGGGAGCCGGCAGGTTCTTTTCTTCCCGTGTCTTTTGACCCTAGATTTCCCACCGAAGAAAAACCAGTCACGTAACCCGTAACAGCGTCAACTTCTCGGTCTGCCTTGTGGGCCCCAGGGTTGCTCTGTGTCACCGCTCCTAGGGCAGCAGTCTAAATGGGGTAAGGGTAGAGTTGTAATACATTTCAGCATGTGGCAAAAGTGTCTTGAGAAAGATTTTTATCATTTGTACAAAAACATAATTTAGGCTGGGCAAGGGCATGCATAGAAAAGCTACAGCTTGTAAAACTCGAACCTGGTACCTCAGTGCCAGGGGTGGAACTCCAGGCCACCCACCGAGCACAGTCCCACAGCCGGAGGTGGCTGGTCCAGTGAGGGGCGGGAGGGCATCAGACTCCAGAAAAATGTAAACAGCGTAGTGTCAACGTAATTTACTACAGTCTCTGCAGTGTCTATAAAATGTCTTAGTGCAGTGGCTTACAAATAGTTTCTCCTTTAAAAAAAGCGAAACAGACCAACAGCTCTCTACTTCATGCATGGATGGTCTTCTCACTCCATCTCTCTTCAACAATGAACGCAGAGAAACCATTGATTGAAACGAATATGAAAACTTGCTACAGAGACACCCTGGTGAGAGAGGGTGTGGTCGGGTAGTGTCCTGGGACATGCCTAGCACAGTGGAGCGGACAGGTGTCAGGAGTCTCTCAAAGAGTCCTTTTCACTCTGTATTTAGAAGACCAAAGCCCCGGCACACAATGTGCAGTGAGGTCTTCCAGCCACTGGAGGGCGCCATCACCATTCCTCTGACAACACATGTCCATAGAACCAGCCACAGAGAGGGCCTGGGTTTTTGTTTCTTTCTTTTTTCATAAAAAGCTCAGAGTTCAACGTTTGATTGCATCCCCCAGCCCTGCAAGACACACACACACAAAAAGCAGTTGTTAAAATACTGACTTCGGTTTCTTTCCTCCTGGCAAACGCCCTGCAACGGCTTCACAAATGTACGTGCAGCGTCAGTGTTCCACTGCTACAGAACCCATCTGAAATCTTAATCCAGGCCAGCCCTCTGGCGTCTCTCCATTCAGAGGCAGAGTCAATCTTTCCTCATTGACTCAGCCTAAAAACCAGGAGTCAGCATTACCCACCGAGAGCCCACACCCACAGAGTGAAGGAACAGAAGAAAAGACGTTCTTTCTTTGTGACAGAGCCAATTTGGTCCCTCTGAAGTGTTGGTGCAGCATAGAGAATCAGCAGGGTAGGCACCCGAGGGATTAGGGTGGCCGTGCCTGGAAACTTCCCAGAGGATCAAGGGGAAAGAGGAAGGTTTGTCTTGCCTCCCCTGTCCTCCTCTGCTACCCGGAATGTGGCCTACACCCAGTGGACCCCTTGAAAGGACCTGTAACCACATGGCTCAGTGGCCCGGAAATCCCACAGCCTCCGTGTTGTGCTGACCATTTATTCTCATTAGATTTACTTCTGCAATCTTGGGCAGCTTTTTCCAAGGGGCTCTATCTTGGGATTCAGAGTGCAAATTCCCAAGGGAAGGTATGGCTGGTAAGGATGGGGGAAGAAAGGGGGGCTTCACGAGATCTTCAGAGCTAGTGAAAGGCGAAATGAAGGATTTGCAATTGATGGGGCTCTAGGGCAGCTAAGCATCTGGCCTAATAACAGCGGAGGCAGTGGATTTTGAATTTGTAGGCTGAAAATTAGAAGCCACTAGTACAACCAGACAACCTAAACACACACACACACACACACACACACACACACACACACACACACACACGCATGCACGCACGCACGCACACACACACACACACACACACTCTCTCACACACACATACTCCAACAAAGGGAAGGGACAACCCCTGACTCAACACCTGTGGCTCCCCAGTCTGCTGAGATTAGGGGACAGCTCGGATCACAAAGGGCTGCACCTGGTCCTCTCCTAGGACAACATCCCCACAGCAGTGAGATTCAGGGAGAGAGCAGTGATAGATGAGGAAGACCTCATCACCCGGTGGAAGGAAGACAGAGAGGTAAGAATTCCTCCAGCCTCTCCAACAGCAGGGTCTAGAGACCCCCACCCCAGCCCACCCTCCACTCTCCCACACTCCCTATGATAGCTCAGCACCCTCCACTGGACCACAGGGCTCCACTTAGGGCAGCCCCTTCCAGGTTCACTGGACATGTCTGTCCCCTTGACAATTTGGAAAAACACCTGCAGGTAAAAGCTCCCTGCTCAGGGGTATCAATCAAGAGACTGAGCTTGCCATCATCAAGACAACAAGCAGCTTCTTTCCCCGTCCCTAATCACTGGCTTTGGTCACTACAAAGGTAGGTACACTCAGGGCGACCCTCAGAAACTGGGCGCCATCTGGAGCCCTCAACCTGGCCTCCAGGTTGGCTTGCTTTTTTTTTTTTTTGGCAAGGATGGGGTCCCCTTTTGCCTCCCTGGTAGATCGGCTGGCTGGATACCATCTAATCCTAACAGGTTCCGCGGGGCTTCTTCTGCACATGTGCAGTTCTTTGAAGCAAAATTCAATGCTTTCATCTTGACTATAAAGTGGTTCCAACAACTCCAGCTGAGGGAAAAGATAAGATACAAATTGGGCCCACGCTACACATATTTTTCAAGTCTTGCTAAGAAAGTAAAAAAAAAAAAAAAAATGTTTGGGTGTATTTTGATCCACGGGTGGCATTTTCAAATGTGCAAAAACAAAAATGTCTTGGAAGAGATTTCTTGTTACTATAAAGTCGTCTTCCTCTTGCTTTTCGGTTGTGAGAGAAACTCTTCCACAACATTATGAGATCCACATGGAGAGGACCAAAGGGGCTTAAAAGAGTACATTACACTGAACAGGAAACCCCATAGCACCGGTCCGAAAACACTAGACAGACTGGTGAGTAGATGCGGCCCCTGGAGCTACGCACTACGTTACCAAAACCAAAAACTAGAAACCTAGGACGTTGGGATCACGACACCTGGGTGCAAATAGCTAACCAGGACTGCCGCCTGGAGGCAGTCATCTCCATGACTGGGATCTTCCAACACGGTCCAGGTCTGACTGGTTCCTGCAGAGAAACTGCAGAGTTCGGGTGCTGTGGCCTGTCCAATCACAGAGCACGAAGCAATGAGGAAAAGCCCACAGGGCTCCCCTGACCCGACCCTGCCATGGGCAATGTCTGCGGGGGGCCACCCTCCTTAGTCTATGGCTCCTGGATGGATGCTGAGCACAGGGGGCTCCAGGCAAGTCGGGGAGTAGTTGAGGTGCGGCTCCTTGATCCACAGCAGGGGCACCCCGTTCTTCCCCTCCGAGTTCTTGCTGGAGTTCCGGCTTTTGAAGCGCACCAGCAGGATGGTGATGATGAGGATGCCGAAGATGGGGAAAGGGTAGAAGAAGACGAAGTAGAAGAGGGCGTCGTTGGAGCAGATGAGCGACTGCAGGGTGGAACCTGGAAGGCAGCAAGGGACCAACCATGAGAGGGGAGGCTGGACTGCCCGGGCCTGCTCCTGAGACTTCCCCAAACACTCTCCCAGCCCTCCCCACCGCCACCAGGGACTGGGAGACTTTTCCCGTTTTTTTTTCTCACAACACCCCAAGCACTCATGCCTCTTAAGTTCAAATGCTGCAGAGTCTCCCTTTCCCCTGAGACCCACACGTCTGCCGGGAAAGTCACACACTCGAGCTTACACTCGAGTTTACTGACCGTGAACTGGCCGGTGTCTAGGGTGGTGGAGAAGCTGACTCCCATTCATTCTTACCTTCCTTCGTTGTAAGAGGGTATCTAACATGTCCGTTGTGCCTAGGTCTACTGTAGACTTCTATGCCGGGAAATCTAGCACATTCCCTTCCTGCCTGCTTCAGGGAGCAGCTGTCCTGGGAAAGGCACTTGCTTAACATTATCAACTCACATACCACTGTGGGCCACGGACGGTGTCCAGTGTCTGGCTGCACAGTGGGGACTTACAGCCAGGAGCCCTGACACCAGGTCATTATTAGCCCTTGGCAGGAACCCGGCCTGCCTTCACGAAGCTTATCCCAGGTGTCCACAGAGGCAGGTCAAGTGTGTCCTCAGCACTTTCACTCCTGACACCCGGGGTGCACATTTGGTTCAGGCTCTGTTTCCCCTCCCATCATACGGTTGCACACCATTGGAATTATTAAGAAAAGTCAGCATGTAGTGATGGTTGGCAAATTTATATCAAATGACTGACGGTCAACCACTCTCAACCCACACACATTTCAATGTCACTTAACATGGTATGGACGGGAGGTGATAACGGGCAGAGATTTTTGAGCACCTGAACCGCAAATCAAGACGACGGGGTAGAGCGAACTGGTTGAGGAGGGTGAGAACCTGAGATTTCTTCCGTTTCTGGATTCTAAGCCGATTCTACTATAGAACAAACACCATGTTCGGCCCGAGCGACTCTATGTTTTGACAGACGGGCAATCAAAAGAGTATTTCCTCCAGTCTGTGTTCAGGGTAAAAGGCCCTCATAGGAAGGAAACTGTGTTCCAGGCCATTCTGAGGTAACAGGCTGCTGTTGTGTGCCTCCAAACTCCCCCGGCTGTCTTTCTAGGCTGGTCCCAGTGACCAGGCAAAATCTACTATACCCACCCCTAAGTCATCCTCCAAAATAAAAGTGACCCGGAAACATGGGGGATGGTATGACTGTCGGGCTTTACTTCTTTGCCCGCTCCTGTGAATTTGGAAACACTTGCTAAGTCACTGCACACCGACCTGGCATTCTAACATGTAACAAAGAAACACCAAGCAAGACACTCACACAATGAGATCTTACTGAAACAGACTCAGGCAGAGGTCAGGTTGATCATAAAAGCCATGTGGTATCTCATCACTTTAATTCCTAGCCCTGGTTTTTTTGTTGTTGTTGTTTGTTTGTTTGTTTTTGGTGCATGGATAACCTGAGGGTCAGCTCTGTGGGCTAGTGTGTCAAATTCTACATCTCAAACCCTACTAGTAAACGCCCACTGCAGTTAGGAAAAATGCTTAGCCCACAACCAGGCTCTGAATTGACTTTCTAGACTTTGCAGGGACAACAGTCACACCCCTCTTCCGTAACTGGGGGAACTCACTTGTGTCCAGAACCCGGATGCCAATGGGGGCCGACTCCTCCTCTGTTAGCCGGTACCATTCCTTCTGAGGGCTGGCCAGCCACTCCTCCACACGGCAGGAGTAATTGCCTGTGTCGTGGGGGTTCGCCTCAAGCACCGTGAGCCGGTACAGCAGGGGCGAGAGTCTCTGGAAACGCAGCCTGCCCTCCCAAGGGCTGCCTTCGGGACCAAAGACGGCATCAGGTCCCACGCTCAGCAGGACCATCCTCTCTGTCGGATCTTCACTGTCCTCGTCTTCCGATACCTCCTCTTCCTCCTCTTGTTCTTCAAGGCCAAGGTTGCCTCTTTTTCCTCCACCTTTAGTCCTTAGGGAATACCAGGCCACAGCAAAGCGGGAGTCTTGGCTTGATCGAGACAGGATGCTGCAGTCGAGTTGGAAAGCTGCCTTCTCGGATACTGTGGCATTGGGGACCACCGTGTCCACCTGCAGGGCGGCGTCTGGCAAGGGACAAGGAACAGAGAAGGGAGAAAAGGCTGATTCATTTCCCTCAAACAAACAAAACAGGCCAGGAAGGTGTCTCCAAAGGTAAAAGAGCTTGCCACGCAGACCTGAGTCCACGCTGCCCCAGAACCCAGGTCAATAAGCCAGATGCCACGGGTTTGCAGGAGAAAGGGAGGGTGCTGGAGAGCTGGCTCCATGGTCAAGAACACTGGACGCTCTTGCAGAGGACTGGGGTCCGGTTGCCAGCAGCTACATAGTGGCCTACAACCATCCTTAACTCCAGTTCCAGGAGACCCAATACCTTCTGCTGACCTCTGCAGGTACCAGGCACAGATCTCTGGACGTTCAAGGCCAGCCTGGTCTGAGAATTCCAGGACAGCCGGGGCTACATAGTGAGATCTTGTCTCACCACCCCCACAAGTAAATTAATTAAATAAATGCATCGATAAACCAGGGAGAGGGAGGGAGGGTGGGAAGACGGAGGGAGGATGGAGGGGATCTAGACTGTGTACAGGTCTCAGGCTTCGGGACCACACAGGATCACACAGTGCGGCAGGATGGAAACTTTCATCCACTCCGTCTGCTCTCATCAGCTGTGCAGAAATCTCCTTTGGGTTTCATTTCCCTTGTTAGAGAAGTCTCCCACTGGGGGTCTGAGGAAGACTAAACATCAATCTAACCGGCAGGGACCTAGCTGGATCTCCCTAAGTGTCTGTCTCCTCCCACTCCACAGGGGGCGTCCCCAGTGATCTGCCGGCGGGGAGTTGGGGGAAGTGTGCTCAGCGGCCGGCCGTTCTCTACACTTTACTTCCAGGGAAAGACAAGCACCGGCCTCCAGGAAAGGTTTCCAAACACCAGCAGCAGCAAAACAGCCAACTACGTACGTGAAAAAGAAAACTCCAAGGAGGGGATTTCTCCTCCAGCATGGCCAAGCACGGTGAAGTCAATCAATGCCCCTCTCCTGAGAGAGACTGGGGCACAAGACAGCTGTGACTCTAACATCAGCTCACATTAGATGTGGCGCCACAAGGGAAGAACTTGCAAGGACCATGAGAGTGAACATCAAGATGCCCAGAAGATACAAGGCCAGGCATTCGCACTGACAGGTCGCAAGTTCAATTCCGTGCCGTGTCCTCAAGGGATGGTTGACTCCTTGCTCTGATAAGGCTCAGTGGTGCTGTGATGCTGCAGGAGGCACGGGGACTCTGCACATCTTAATTATGTGTTAAATGTAACAATAATTGCACCCGGTAATTATATGCGTTTAGACACTTTAGAAATGGCCACAGAGACCCGAGGAACAAAGGGCCACACGGAAAAGTCACTCGTGCCAATAAAATGATTGGGAGAGGAGTGGAGGCTAGAGGTACTTGCTGCGTTCTGCCTTTTAAAGAACTATTCTTTCCCACAGTAAACCCACCAGCCTAACTTCTGAACACATGGCTACTGTTTCAAGGTTTCCGTCATATTAACCACCTGTTCCCATCTGAATGTATGCTTTAAAAGGAAAATAGTCTTATGACCTAGAATAATTAACTGCTGGCTTTTATTCTAATTAAGAAATCTAATCACCTGAGGAGAAAGCCTGATGTGAGATTTCCCATTCACAGGAAAAACAAGTGGAGAGAATTTAGAATACAAATGTACAATATAAATGTTCACATGCTTAACTGCAAATGATTTCTTCCTTTTTTTAATAAAAGGATTTATTTTTATTTTATATGCACTGTCTGTGTGAGGGTGTCAGGTCCCCTGGAACTGGAGTTACAGACAGTTGTGAGCTGCCACGTGGGTGCTGGGAATTGAACCTGAGTCCTCCGGAAGAACAGCCACTGCTCTTAACCACTGAGTCATCTCTCTAGCCCCTGCAAATCATGACTTAACTAAACAATTTTATTCAGGATCGTGGTAGTTAACCTTTATTTTTGACCGTATTTGGAACCACTTAGGAGACGCCCCTTTGAGCATGTCTGTGAGGGCATTTCCAGAGAGGATCACCAAGAAGGGAAGATCCACCTACTCTGAATGTGGGCCGCAGCACCCTACAGGCAGGGGTCCTGGTGACCAAAGGCAGAAAGGGAGAAAGCCAGCTAAGCAGCAGCATCCACTTCTCTCTGCTTCCTAACCAGATGCAATGTGACCAGCTGCCTCCACGACACCCCACTACGACGACACCCCACCACGACACCCCACCACGACACCCCACCACGACGGGCTGTCTCCATCAAACCAACCCTTCCTCCCTGAAGATGCTTCTCTGGTCACAGCGACAGGATAAGTGCCTTTCAAACGTTCAAAATACTCGTAACACGGAAGGCTAGGGGCCTTACCAGGTCGCATGACTGTGACGACCGTCTGCCCAGCTGTGTCCTCAGCCCGTTTATACCACACACCACTGGGGCTGGGCAACCACTCCTCCACCCGGCAGCTGTAGGTCCCGCTGTCCTGGACCGCCACATTCTGGATGAAGAGCCTGTACACGCCGGAAGACGGGCTCTCCAAGTGCAGTCGGCCCTTGAGGTTGTTTTTGGCGGCCTGTTCACCGTAGTGGAAGGTAGCATCCCGGCTCAGGTGGGCCACTGTTTCCCGTTCTGGGTGGTTGGGCTTCCAGACAAACCATTCCACCACGAGCTGGGAGGTGACGCTGGTACGGTTCAGGACCACACACTCCAGCTGGATCTGCCGGGTCTCCAGAATAGACAGGTTGCCCTGGGCTTGGCTGAGCTTCAGGCGGCTGTCTGAACAGGGAAGAAAGAGACACGGTGACATGACGGCAAGCAGGGCACGGCACCCTGAGAGAGCAGTTAACAGGTGCCCTTGGGGCACAGGAGAGTGTCTCACACATTTCTCAAACATGGCACCCTAAGTGTGTTGAATCCCTGGCCACGCGTTCAGAACCCTTCCCGAAGGGCTTTAGGTGTTTGGGGGAGGGCAAACAAGCAATAAAAGAGTAATAACTGCATAGACTCCAAAGTGTGTGGTTGACTGAAGAGGTAGCTAGCAAGGGAAGGGGCAGGCAAGGGCAGGGACAGCCCTTCTCCCAGCAGGGGTAAACTCGAAGTTGAACCCAGGGTCCTGCACATGCTAGGGACGTACTATACTACTGAAATATCGCTGTGGCTTTGAATGAGAACGGCCCCCATAGTCTTATATATTTGAATGTTTGGTTCCCAGTTGGTAGAACTATTTGAGAAGGATTAGGAGGTGTGGCCTTGCTGGAGGAGGTGTGTCATCAGGTGTGGGCTTTGATGTTTCAAAAGCCTACACCACTCCCGGTCTCTCTCTCTCTCTCTCTCTCTCTCTCTCTCTCTCTCTCTCTCTCTCTCTCTCTGTGCCTGGGGTTGGTGGATCGGATGTCAGCTCTCAGCTACTGCTCCAGCACCATGCCTGCCTGCCTGCTGCCATGCTCCTCACCATGATGGTCATGGACTCACCCTCTGAAACTGTGAACACGCCCCCCGATCAAATGCTTTCCTTTATACGTTGCCCCGGTCATGGTGTCTCTTCACAGCAACAAAACAGTGAGCAGGACAGTCACCAACCCTTTGAACACTGTGTTTTGAGACAAGGTTTCACCATGTTGCCCATGCTGGCCTTGAGCTTCTGTAGCCTGGCAGGCCTTGAACTGGTGACCCTCCTGCGTCAGCTGTCTGGGAACCTAGGATTACAAGCCCACACCAGCAGGCCTGTGTGAGGAGTAAATTTCTAAGTCTGACCACATGATAAATGGACTATGCAGAGCCAGAACCATAAAGGAACTGCCAAGGAAAACCCAGTTTAATATGCACGGACGCTGGGCCTCCGAATGGCTTCTCTTTCAAGGTGGGGAAGAGAACAATGTGCTATCAGCACAGGAAAAGAGGGTACTGATGAGGGAGGCTGGGCAGTGTAAACAGCCACCAACAAGGTTTCCCGACATGGAAGAAGTAGCATCCCTGCAGCTCCACAAAGGACCCGAATGAACCTCTCTGTACGAAAAGATGCTAACAGCAATGATTGTAAACACACAAAGGAGCCTTGGGACCAGCATCCCCGAGTGACCTGTAAAGAGGAGGAGAACCCGACACGCTCACTCTCTGCACTTCAGTGTTGTGTGGATGGTTTGTTCCACACAGAAGATTGCTGGTGCAAATAAAAGGCAAAAAAAAAAAAAAAAAAAACAAAAAACCCAAATGATTCTATTTTTAAACAGTTTGGCCAAAATATACATACGAGATGTTAACGCTGGCACTGTATCTGAGTTGCAAGACTACAGTGCTTTCCACTGTGGGTCCCCACTGCCTGCAAAGGCTCAGTAATGTATGCTTTCTCATCAGGAAGAAGGGGAGGGGGACAAGGAGCAGAAAAAAAAAAAGAGATAAAGATGCAAACCATAGAATCAACTGAAAAAGCAAAAGCTGTTGTAGTCAGCATCCTGGGAGTTCTCTGTACTAAGATTTGTCATAGGAGAGATGTCACTATGCTTGCTGATGGGGATCCTCGTGGCCCTTTCGATTGTCTCACTTAGCTCGGCAGCAGGCTTAGATGGGGAAACCCCTTCAATACATTTAGTGCCCAAGAGGACCTTCCTGGCATCAAACCAAAGGAGGAAAGGAAAAAGACTGGAGAGGAGAGAAGAAACCTTAGGAGATGGGGATCAGAGGGGCGAAAATAACATTATCCTTGGGAAGTGGGATCACAGGAGCAAAACTCACATTATCCTTGGGAAGTGGGATCAGAGGGGCAAAACTCACATTATCCTAATGGAGAAGAACCTAATGGATGGAAGGCAGAGGCAGGGCAAGTGAGAGCCCTGCAGGCCTCACAGCAGCTGTCGGTCAGCTCTCAGAAGGCCCTAGTGACACACTGCAGCATGGGCTGCAACCTCAGCAACCTGGGAGGCTGAGGCAGTAGATCTCAAGGTCAAGGCCTGCCTCGATTATATGGTGAGTCTGAGTGCAGCCTGAGTAACTGAGACGTTCATCCCGGGGCCTGGCAGGCAGGCAGGACCCAGGTCATGGGATGGCCACAGAAAGCACCTCAGAGATGGACTTCCTGCTCTATGTACCAGTGAAACAGTCAACAGAACACGCCCCTGTGTGCCAGATGGATCCCAGAACACAGGGCATCTTCTGCGAAAGGACGGGAATGGCGTCTTTGCATCCAGCATGCATCAGGCCACATCTGGTCCCATTGCTTTGCTGGGAGTCTGATGAAGAAACAAAGACCCTGATAATTCAAGGAGCTTCATCTAGTGGAGACCCAGGCAACAAATATGCCTATGTACATGCATACATGTGTGTGTTTGAATACATAAACAGCATAAGGTAGCTAAAAAGTGGGTTGGAGGTATAAACATGAAGAGCGCTTCATAATTACCGACATATGAGTAAGTAAACGGACAGACTATCAGGGGTGCTATGGACTGGGAAGGCAACGGGAAGGGGAACCAGTGACGGGTGCTATTTAAGCTAAAATGAAATAGGAGTGCCTCTCAGAGGAAGATGGAGGTAAATGAGTATCTTTGCCCAGCATGTTCCATGCCGAAATAGTAGTACACAGGCGCTGTGCTGTTCAAAGCAAGTCACCACCAATCCCTTCATCGGCCAGTACGTACGAAGGATGTCATGCCAGTGGCTGAAGGCAAAGACACAGGTCTGACCACACCATGCTTATGACATACTGCAGAAGAGATGCAGATAATTACCATACTGTGTGGGCAAGGGGTATGGGAGAAATCAGGGTAGACTTCCTGGAAGTGGTGCCGAGTGAAGTCTTGGGGATGGGATGAAACTGGAGAAGTGGAAAGAGGGGTTCATTACAGGCACAGGAGACCACATAAACAGACAGGACTGTGCTCCTGGCCCTTGAGGAAGGACAGAGGGTGACAATACCCACAGGACACACGGAAGAAGATGGCAGAGAGTGCAGTGAAGGCCACACCACAAGGGGAATTGGGAAGCCAGGCTGACTGAGAGAGTCTGAGGGGCCTTTCCACATTAGGAACGAAATAACCAGATTTCTCACGAACTGTTCCGGGGTGGGCGTTACAGGGAGAAAGCTGGCCAGGGCTTCCCAGAGCAGAACTGAGGCTTGCAGGGGCGAATCAGCTGTCGCCCTGGATGTCACCTGCCTGTCTGCATTCTGGAGACCTCAGCTGGCCTCAGTATCTCACTGAAGAAGCTCCCACAGGAGAGTTGAGGATGCTCAACTCGGCATCAGGACAACAGCAGGTCTGGTACAAGGCCTGCAGGGCACCAGAATTGACGGTCCGTGCATCTACAACCACACCCAGGGCGTCTCTGTGGCAGCCTCAGTGTGTGTGTGTGTGTGTGTGTGTGTGTGTGTGTGTGTGTATGCATGCACACGCGCGGGGTGTGTGTGTGTGTGTGTGTGTGTGTGTGTGTGTGTGTTCAGAGTTCCCCAGGTCCTAGGGTCGCTGGAGTAAACACACAGGCCCATGATGGCCACACCCTCTATGCTTACCTGGCTGCTTCACGGTGACCTCGGTGCGCCCTGAAACCTCCTCGGCCAGCTTGTACCAGGCATAGTTGGGGCTCAGCAGCCACTCCTCCACGTGGCAGTAGTAGCTACCACTGTCGCTGACCTCAGCTCTCTGCACGGTGAGGCTGAACAGGCCCCCTGACGCATGCCTCTCGAACTGCAGCCGGCCTCGCAGGCCCTCCTCCTCGGCATAGGTTCCATACTCAAAGGCTGAGCTGTGCGTGGTTTTGAGAATGAGCTTGCCATCTGCGTCCGAGGGCTTGTGAACGTACCACAGCACGGCGAAGTGCGAGTTCTGGCTGGTCTGGGACTTAACGGAGCAGTTCAGCTGAATTGGCCGGTTCTCCACTAGCGTGAGTGTTCTCTTCGACTTGCTCACCTGCAGCTTCGTCACTGCGAAGGGAAGAGGGCAACTCAGAGGAGCCGACAGTCCTGGAAACGAGGCCCGTCCCAAGCTCACGTCTAGGCTGGGAGATTGGGTCGGTCCAGCAGGGAATATACCACGAATGAACATCCTTCATGACCTCCCCCAGTGTTAGCCACCCATCTACTGGCCCCCTGTCCATTCTCCGTGCACCGCTGACCACCCCCAGCCAAGACACCAATCTGCCCAGAGCTTGACCTTGCTTAAAAAGTTTAATGGCGCCGGGCGGTGGTGGCGCACGCCTTTAATCCCAGCACTCGGGAGGCAGAGCCAGGTGGATCTCTGTGAGTTCGAGGCCAGCCTGGGCTACCAAGTGAGTCCCAGGAAAGGCGCAAAGCTACACAGAGAAACCCTGTCTCGAAAAACCAAAAAAAAAAGTTTAATGGCTCCCAACTGTCTGTAGAACCTACAGAATAAGATTCACCTGGCCAGCACGAAGAAGCCCGCTCAGAACTTGGCTCTTGCCTAACTGTCTTGACTCATCTCCTAGGACTCACCCTCCACATGCACCGCTCCCCTGTCCCACACGCTTTGCCCTGAGCCCTGGCCACTGGCCTGCTGTTCTGCCGCCTCCCCGCCAGACTCTTCTTCCCACTCCATCTCTTGACCCTTTCTGTCTCCCATCCCACCAGGCAAGGTTTTTCCTCCCTTGGTGCCTTCTGGTACCCAGGCTGTGTGGTCCCGTTCCCCCCTCCCCGCCCCGACACTTCCATCTCTCCCCTCCCCTAGATGCTCAGCTCCCAAGAACAGAGATCAAGCTTTTCCATTCAGCCGGCTGACATTTCCCATCACCCACGGTTCCACTAGGGCTGTAAAAAGCTGAGGACACCCCGAGAGTGGGACAGTCTCAGTCTCACAGTGCTAACTGCTGGCGGAACCCCTTCCTTCTGGACCCTAGAGCCCTCGCACAGTATCTAAGCTTCAGAAAGCAAAAAGCCCTCCCTCGATGATTGCTAGGATACTGGAGATGGGGCAACGGGCAGTTATGGGATGTTGGTGCAGATCTTGAAGAGGACAGCAACGGATGGAGCAGAGCCAGCACCAGCCTCGCTTCCCTTACTATCGTAGTCCAGAAGCAACAGGGATGGCCCACTCCAGATATCGAGAAGCCAAACTCTAGTAAAATGGATCTTAGGATGATAATTGGAGGATTTTACCCTATATATCATCACACTTGCCTCTGCTCTTCCCTAGCAACCTACTTCTTCCTACTGAAAACAGAAAATTACAACAAAAAGAAGAAAGGAGAAGGCAATTCTCTTAGTGAACCAATAATCAAGGCAGGAGTCCACCACACTCCACTCTTCACACCTTGATTCTGGACCACTTTGCCAGCTGAGGTTATGGTACAGGACCCACGGTGAGGAAACAGCTAAGGCCCCTGCCGACTGGCCAGGCCCATCTCCAGGCCAGGCTGGGCAGTCCATCTCCTTAAGGCTGGAGTCCAGCAGCTGGAATGCGCAGAAACTGTCCAGGTGTGGGACTGGGCCCCTGGTTGTGACCCTGGGATTCTGGCCAGCTAGCTGGCCTGTTTCATTAGCGGCCTCAAGGGCTGAGTCCCATGTGTAAGGAAGGAGAGTTTCTGACGGCCATAGACCACTCCTCTGTGTGTCGGGGAACACACAGATGTTCAGGATGAATATGAAAGTTTGGCGAGAAGGCAGAGCAGGGTCCCACACCCAGCACCATTACTACAAAAGCACCTCTGAGGATCTGTCTCGTGTTGCTGAGGCAGACTTTCTCCTTGTGAAGGACCTTTGAATTCATACACAGACATCAAGATGGGCCATGGCCCCACACTCCAGCATCATCTATTTTTCTTTTCTTCAAACACAGAGTGCTTCAGGGTACACTGGGCATCCTGGAGCCTGGGTTGGCATTAGCCTGATGGTCAACTTTTCCAAGTGGACTCCTGTGAGTCCTGAAACAACCTGTTCCCTTTCCGACCCAATTCCCCACATGCAAACGGTATCTCAATCAGTGCAGACGACACCACCTGAATTATCTGGTGTACGGCCAGATGAACTGGGTTGTTCTGTGTGGAGCAGAAAGAGCTTTAACATGTATTATTAATTGGGGCCAGATTATTTTTGCAACTGTTACTAAGGAAACCTCAATTGCTATAGTAACCGCATATGTTAAACTGGAATCCTATGACTCAACTTCATTCAGTCACATGGTCAGAAAACCAGAAGCCAAGGAAGAGAAATATTTCAAAGCATTTCCAATTTCTCTTTTTCTTTTCTCTTTTTGCTATCCCATGTCAAAATATTGTGAAGTATTGGGGAGCTTAAAAGAGAGGCACTTTTGAAATTTGGTACGTGTCTGACAGGCGGGCAGGGGTCAGCTCTTACTCTAAGCTCAGCATGTCCTCCCATATCTCCGGGGTAGGGAGGGCATGTCCTGAAGCCTGGAGGAGTCAGGAGGCTCCACGGCTAATGAGGAAGCATTCACAAGCCTGTCTCAGCATTGCCCAGGGCAAGGTGCGGCTGCAAGCCTCGTCCCCCTCCCGGCTAGGACAGCCTGGACTTTTTAAGGACCCGTGTTTTCATCTGCAAATGAGATCCCCAGAAGTGTGCATCTAATTCACCCAGAGTGCCCGGCAGATTAAATGCAGTAGCTAAGAGTTTAGTACCAGGCTGGGTGTACCCTGAATACTAGGTAAGTTTTAGCTCTTCTCATGCCCTTTTGGTTTCTATTTCTGGTCTCAAGATCAAAGCCCATCATTAGATGGGACGCTGATAAAAGTGGGCAACTGAACTTTTAAAAGTGCTGTAGATAGGGCCGTCAAGTTGTCTCAGAGGATAAGGGCGCCTGCTGCCAAGCCTGGTGACCTGAGTTCAAACCCAAGGACAAAGAGAAGTGACCCCCATCAGTTGTCCTCTAATCTCCATGGTGTGCTATGCCCCGTACCTACTTCCTATAACACACACACACACACACACACACACACTAAAATAAAATAAATCCTCCGTCTGGAGAGGTGGCTCGGTGGTTAAGAGCACTCACTGCTCTTCCAGAGGGCTTAGGTTCAATTCCCAACACCCATAAGGAAGCTCACAATTATCTGTAACTCCAGGCCCAGGGATCCAACACCCTCTTCCGGCACCAGGCACATGCATGGTATAGACATACATGCAGGCAAAACAACCATATACATAAAGTAATCATAAACAAAAACTTCAAAGTGCTGTGGACTAGCAGCATGAGATGACTGGGTGGGTGTTTCTCAGAAACAGACTCTCAGGCCCACTACGTCTGAATCTCCATCTGAACAAGATTCTTAGGAGAATGAGACTTGCCTTCAACCAAGGAAACCCTGCTGTGGAATGGTCTGTGTGTCAAGTGTGTTGCTGATTGGTCAATAAATAAAACACTGATTGGCCAGTGGCAAGGCAGGAAGTATAGGCGGGACAAGGAGGAGAATAAAGCTGGGAAGTGGAAGGCTGAATCAGAGAGACACTGCCAGCTGCCATGATGACAAACAGCATGTGAAGATGCCGGTAAGCCACGAGCCATGTGGCAAGGTATAGATTAATGGAAATGGATTAATTTAAGCTGTAAGAACAGTTAGCAAGAAGCCTGCCACGGCCATACAGTTTGTAACCAGTATAAGTCTCTGTATTTCCCTGGTCGGGTCTGAGCGGCTGTGGGACTGGCAGGTGAGAGAGATTTGTCCTGACTGTGCGCCAGGCAGGAAAACTCTGGCTACAAAACCCCAGGCTTAGCTGCTCAGCAAAAGGACTTGGAGTCAATGAATGCTGAGGCGAAAGGAAGACACTCAGAAGTGAGGCTGAGTTAATCTCCAGTCAAGCAGCAGGAAGTGAGAGAACGCGGCAGGAGGCGGGGCAGAGCGATGGGCTGGCCCCATGGCAAGGGAAGGAGGCGGGGCAGAGCGATGGGCTGGCCCCATGGCAAGGGAAGGCTGGCCTGGCCGTGCAGTACACTCACACGCCAGCATCTGCCTTCCCAGCAGCTCCCATCATTCACAGGAACGCCCTTTCTTGCTGCAGATGGACAGTTTCCACCCCAGGTTTGGATCAAACCTAGGAGAGTCTGTCAGTCAGCCCAGGAAAGGCTGCTGAGCCAGGAGGAACAGGGTGCATGGGGGACGGAGAGCGAAAAGGGGGCGCTCAGCAGCAGAGAAGAACAGCTGCTCCCCAGCCAACCTGCCCCATCCTCTGGTTTCATTCGTGCACTGCTCATGTGAAAGGCACCTACTCCACCAGTAAAGGATTCTCCTTAAGCGCAACCATAGCTGCCTTATACCAAGGGCCATTTTTAAAAGGGCTTCCCTTTTTGCATATGTCTGGGCAAAAGAACTATGACCCAATCATTGCTAATCACATTAATACATGGGTGATTGAATAAAAACCCAATTAATCTTTTAAAAGAGGGGCCATTAATTCTGATTGTGATGAAAGAGCGAGAACCTTGCAAAAAAGCTGTGGTCCCTGAGCTGGGCTCCGAGAAACACATGAGCAGGTGTCCAACAGGTGGGAAAACAGGAAGGGAAAGGGAGCCCAGAGCAGGCAACAAGGCCAACTTCTCTGTGTACTGATCGGGGAAGAGCCAGTGGTCAGGCATGGTGGATGAAGTTACAAAGCTGAGTGGCCAACACTGTGAGGTCCCAGGGCTGGTTCTCGATCCTGCCCACCTGTAGCTCTCAGAGAGGAACTGGTGGATAAGTAGCAAAGCTACCTGAGAACTTGTTAGAACCATACTGGTTCGGAAATAGGGGGAAGAGGGACCCGGGGACCTGTGGGTTTGTGAGCCTACAGGCCCTTGTGGTGCATTCAAGTGTGAGAAGCCGCAGGTGCAGCAGCATGGCAGACAATTCTGGGCAGGAGAGCAAGGAGAGAGCAGAGGAGAGGTGAGGAGAGATGGGTAGAGAATGGAGACGAGGAAGGGAGACTCTGTTCTCTCTAAAACATCTGACGGGAATGCCAGGGACAGAGGAGGCCAGGGG